TGGCTTTAAAAAAAGACTAAGTCACAGAATATATTTGGATACAAAAAACACAATAGTAGTTTAATGGGAATATATTGATTTTCATTAAATTAATAAAAGACAAATATTGACTATATTTCTCATACCTGGCATACCACATTTAAATAAAATTTAAAAAGAAAATTTCATCTCTAAGCATAGACAACATGCATACTTAGGAATTCCACATTCTATAAAAATATTAGTTCTTTTTAAGACTGAAAATAGTAATATACAAATATAATATGATGGTATGAAAGGAGAACACTATTAGCACAATAAAAGCCATGGATGTACTTTAAAGAGTCACTATCCAAGAAAAGAGCATTAAATTAATAAGAAAAGAATCAAGGCCCTGGGAATATAGGTGTACTCTACAAATCAAGAAAATGAACAAAACAGATAGATAGGGAATGCCAATAATATAAATAATGTGATTGGCCAATAAATACACATAAAAGATATTTAATGGTTTAAAATATATTTTAAGTGAAAAACTGAGTTAAAGGATACTTTTATTTTTAGTTTACATGACTATAAATTGTACACAGTAGTAATATCTAGGTATAAGCTATGAGAGATTCTTATGTACAAATTCCATTAGAAACTCACAATATTCAAGGTACAGTATAAAAAATTCTCAATAACCTAAATGCTGATCCTTATGGAGAATTTAGAAACATTCAGGAATGTTCACACAGCTTTAGTTGTGAGGCTTTTCACTTTGTAGAAAAGTAACAGTACTATAGTACAGAAAAAGGCAGCTAATTGTTAGGGTGTGAACTGACAGCTATCTCCTCACACAACCTAGTGTTGAAGCTCAACTTTAACGGTCATTCTATTAGGATTTAGCAGCACTTCAGCATATGATTTCAAACCCCAAATGTTAGTAGCAATAGGAATGGAAAATCCAAACCAATATTTAGATATACTGAGTGGTGGAGAGGCAAAGAAATTTTATACACTGTAACATACTACAGTCTTGATTTTATTGATTGATAGAAACAGGGTCTTGTGTGTAGTTCAGATTGGCCTCAAACTCATGGCAACCCCCCTGCTTGGAAGACAGGTGGGATTCACTAGTTGGGCTCTCACCAATCTTTCTGAGAGATTGATCATGTGCTAGTTGTTCCAAGAATGGGATAGTGTTTCACTGGCTTTCCTAACAGCAATCATTTTTCAAGCATCAAGAACCATTGGTTTGCTGACTTCTAGCAAAGTTGTTCTACACTGTGATACACTTAATTTTCAAAATTTATACAACTGCATAGAAGAAAATATTAATATTTAATAGTGAATTATTTATTCTTTTTGTCGGTAGAAGGGATATAGATGAGCAGATCATAATGTAAGATAACAGTCATTACAGATTTTTGACTGGCAATGCATAATATATGATGTTCCTTAATTTGAAAACCTAATAATTTTATATAGACTTGTAGTGATTTTAGGTAGCTATCAATTCTAATTCTGATTTTACTTATTTACTTATTTATTTAACTGGGGACTAAACCCATGGCCTTTTTACTTATTTATTTGACTTTTGATTTTTAATTTTTTTTAGATAAGGTCTTGCTGTGTAGTCCAGGCTGGGCTCGAACTTGTGGTGATCCTCCTTCCTCAGGTTCCCCAGCAGAGATTACAGTCATAGGACAGACACCATGCCTGACTGCTTGCTTACTTACTCGCTTACTTGTTTATTTGTGGTATTGGGAATCAAACCCAGGAGTTTTGCACTGAGATGCATCTACAACCTTTTTGTTCTTGGATAGGCTTGAATTTGCAATTGAACCTCAGCTTCCCAAGGTACTGGGATTTCAAGTATGCACGGCCATGTCTAGTTATTATTTTTTCTTAACATTAACTTAGAGGTTTATATTAGCTTTATAAACTAACTACTGCCTCTAGCCACACCTTTATTAACTCTGTAGTATTTAATAGGGGAATAAAATAACAAAATGTGACTTAACCCTGGTTTCCTACATATGTTCGTGGGATTATATTTTCAAATGACTATATTAATATAATGGATCTTTGCAATGGATAACTGACAATTGATACAGGTTTTACAATACAGCATTAATAATCATGTAAAAATCTAACATATGCAGCATCTTCCATGGACTATTCTGGATAAAAACCTAATATCAAACTAATAAATTTTCTAAATATTAAGTCCCATTTATAGGAAAACTAAGGGACAGAGCAACAAATTAAATCATATCAAGAGGCATACATCAAGAATGGGGAACACTTTGACAACTAAATAAAACTCCAAAGCATGAAAAAGGCAATATA